GGCCGCGGACAGCTTCGCAACCCAGCGCTCAACCGCTGCGCCACTGGGGAGGCCCTCTGCATGCATTTTAAACATAGTTTTATTTCATCTTTTTATCACTCCCACTTTTAATCATGATTCTGAAGTTCTGTGTTTCCCAAGGTCACAATGCCCATAAACTCTTAGAGTCTGGATTTACACTCCCCTTCAGAACTAGAAAGCTCCAGCTCTGTTTACAGGGCAAAGGGCTGCTAATCATTCACACTTAACAAAGTCCATTGTTGGTAAACAATGCTTCTTGTTCTGGGAGGGAGGAAGGAATGGAATCTTCCCAAAGAACCCTTGATTTCCCAGAACCAGGAAGAACTGCCTAGAGCCCCAGGCCTTAGTCTCTAAAACTATGTAACTGTTTCAAAAGGCTGAAAACACCTAACATGTTACAGCTGAGCTGTTTCTTTGGGGAGTTGTTTGTAGTCTCCCTCCTTCCAAGAAAAATGACTTTAAGATATTTTACAGCTCTGACTTTAGACAGTCCACTACTCTCCCTCCATCACTGCTGACCCTCTCCCTCTCATTGGGCAAACCTTCATAACCCCATCCTACCAAAGCACCCCGCTTTAGGCCTGCTCTGGAGAAGCATCCAGCACTGCAGAGTCAAAGGAGGGTGAAGTAGTTGGATGGAAGAGGGGGCTCCTGAATGCTCAGAACTGACACTGAAAGTCCCCCAATGGATCTCTTCCACCTCTGGATTCTTGGAAGCCCATGTGACAGATGTGGGACAAGCTGGTATAAATTCTGTGAGGCATTAGGACTGAAAGCTAGGAAAGAGGGGGCTGACTCCCAAGGTTCAGAATGTCAACAAGTGGAGGAAGACCATGAAGACCAGTAGTGCCTCCTTGAGAAGTCAGCTGCCTACAGTTTGACTGACACCCTGATACCGGAATTGTCAGGCCTAGTCTCCCAGCCAGGAACAGACCCCAGGCTGCAAGCGCAGCGCTGAGTCCCAGCCACTAGACCCCCACGGGTTGGTGTTTCACGAAGCTGCAGCAGGAACTTCGCAGACTCTCAGGCAAGCAAGCGAGAAGAGGCAGGTTTGTTTAGAGAAAGAAAAGTTTATTATTATTATTATTATTTTTTTTTAAGAGGCATGTTTATTTATTTATTTATTTTGTTTCGTTTGTTTGTTTATACAAGCACTGGGTACAGTCAGAAGCGCGGGAGGGTGAGAGAATTCACCAGAGCCAGAGCGGGGAGCAGAGCAGGCAGAAGGACCGAAGTACACTGCTGAGGGGAGCAGCGGGCGGCAGGAGAGGTCTGCGCGCCATGTGGGACCCTCCTCCGGTGACTGGGGAGCAGCCGGGGATCGAACCGGCGCCACAGAGGCCGCAAGCAGCCTCGCAACCCAGCGCTCAACCGCTGCGCCACCAGGGAGGCCCGGAAAGAAAAAGTTTATTGAGGAGAAAAAAGAGCAGAAATAAAGTGGAACTCCCAGGCCAAGGAACCAGGCCTGGGAGGGGCAAGGAAGCCAAGTGGAGTCGTGTCCCAGGGAATATATACCTTCTTTCCCTAATTATTCTAAAGCTCCACCAGTTTCTTTATGATTGGTTAGTTCTCGGCTGTCTCACTTAATTTGCTATACTGAGTGGGGGAATCTTCACATTCCTTATCTAACAGCTTTCTCTTTCCCCATTTGTCACATCTTTATCTTTATGGCCCAGTCCTCGGGATGGGCATCCCTGCATTGAAGTTAAACAGCTGCCCTTCTAATTTGTCCATAAATTAAACCACTCTCCATTTCTCCAATCTCTGCCTCCTTTTACCACCTGAAGAAAACCAGGACCAGCATTAACAATGTTGTCCTTGGTCCTGAGATGTTTGTTTTTCCTAGTGGACTTGGTTACATTCCCTTGGTTGTCCTTATTTCTGAAGCCTCCCTAAATTCTTCAGAGGTCCCCTCCTGCACTGTCCCTAAAACTGCCTAATTTCTAGCTTGCCCTGTGTCTCAACCCTCTGACTTATCTCAGGTTTTGCATGAAAAAAAAAAAAAATCACTGCTTTTTTTTTCATGGTGAATTTTAAGCTGGCAGAACTTTTCACTTACGGATGAACTAATAGTTATTCACAATACAGTTCAAGTTGAATTAACCAAACTAAGTTCACCTTATTGAAGAAAAGACTGAACATGTACATATTCACTATTTTCAGTTTTCGTTTCTAAATCAATCTTACCTTTCTCGTAGGTCCAGAATTCTTGCTATCAGTTCTCTCTCTCCTGTCACTTTTTTTTTTTTTTTTTTTTTTTTGGTGGGACCCTCGCCAGCAGCCGGGGAACGAACCAGCGCTGCAGAGGCTGCAGGCAGCCTCAGCAGCCCAGCGCGCAACTGCTGCGCCACCAGGGGAGGCCCTCTCCTGTCACTATTAAGATGCAATAAAAGGTGAGGGACTCTTAGAAGCCACATGAACTGATGGAGTAAAATCTGTTTGCCACAGAAATCCAAGACTGATACAAAGAATCAAGAAGTGTCTATATTACATGATATTCACCACTGAAAGTCCAGTTTTATCCTTTATCAGGCCATTTCCCCCTTTTCCTATTTACCCACCCACCAGACCTAAATAAAAACTCAAAAACACTTCTAATATTAAACAATAATTTGTATCTATTCACTCATTTTCCAACCTGTTTATTCCATGTTAGGGTCATGAGTGGCCAGAACCTGTTCCAGCAGCTCAGAGCTACAACAGGAACCGACTCTGGATGGGATGCCCTTCTATAAGCAGGTGCACTCATAAAACACCCACTCTTATTCAGACTGGGACAATTAAGACATGCCAGTTATCCTAAGGACACACCTTTAGGATGTGGGGGGAAACTGGAATACCTGGAGAAAACCCATATAGACATGGGAAGAACATGCAAATTCTACTTAGAAGGTGGTCCCAACTACGAATAGATTTTTTTCCTCGAGTTTATAAGGAAATGTTAAACAAAACAAAGTTATTCAAGAGCCTGCTGTACAATCTCCTCACATCTAAAAGGGGAAGATCCTTGGGCCTCCCCTGGTGGTGCAGGCAGTTGAGCACTGCGCTTGAAGCTGTCCCCAGGCTCTGCAGTGCTGGTTGAATCCTGGCCGGCCGGGGAGGGTCCCACATGGTGCAGCAGATCTCACCTGTCTCGCCCGCTGCTCCCTCAGCAGTGTATTTCGTCAGTCTGCCTGTTCTGTTCCCCGCTCTGGTGAATTCTCTCACCCTCCTGCGCATCTGGCCTGTCCCCCGGTTCTTGTATAAATAAATAAATAAACAAACAAACAAACAAATAAATAAATCTTTAAAAAATAAAAAGGGAAGATCCTACTGAAGGTGCCTTTGTTTTGATAATAGGATGGGGAAGAGAGGTTGATAAAGAATAAAAAGTACTCTCTTCTAAAAGGAAAGAAAAATCCAGGGAGACAGGAAAGAGTTCATGACTAGAGTAGTACATGTCTTGGGGACCTATGGAGAGATGTGACACCTGCTCAACGGAAGAGAGAAATATGTTTCAAAAGATTTTTAGGGGGCCTCCCCGGTGGCACAGCGGTTGAGCACTGGGTTGCGAAGCTGCCAGCAGCCTCTGCAGCGCCGGTTCGATCCCCGGCTGCTCCCCGGACACCGGAGGAGGGTCCCACATGGCGCACAGACCTCTCCTGCTGCCCGCTGCTCCCCATCAGCAGTGTACTTCTTCAGTCTACCTGCTCTGCTCTCCCCTCTGGCTCTGGTGAATTCTCTCACCCTCCCGCGCTTCTGGCTGTACCCAGTGCTTGTATAAATAAAATAAAATAAATAAATAAATAAATAAATAAATCTTTAATAAAAAAAAAGATTTTTAGGAAGTCTATTGTATGATTTATGATGTAACTCCCTCCCCCATCTCCCCAAGAAAATATCAGTAAAAACAATATTATACTCTCCTGTGTCTTTGGAATCTTGTCAGGACTTGTATTTTGAATTTTGGAAGGCATCAAGGCCAGCTCAGGATGGCACTGGTCAGAACTGGGGCAGTGAGGGAGGCTCAAGGTCATTCGTATTTTACACCCAGCTTGTGTGCTCCAGGATCACGCAACAGAACTCTCTCATTGAGTCAAAGGTGTTATTTGGTCGCCCAGTGGAGAATAGGGGAGAAACACCAGTAAATTGTTGTGGATTATTGCAGTGGGGAAGGATGAAAAATGACTTAATCTGGTACCAGAAACACAAGTCGGGGAGTAGTGACTCTCAGCCCCTTTGCTCACTAGTCCAGTGCCAGGTACCTAACTGAGGCTGGGAATGTATTTGCTGATTGGTTGGATCAAATAGAATGACAAGGGGGAGGAATATAGCAATCTGGTGAGTAGGGGATTATTACCCTCATTGTGGAGATGAAAAGACTGAAGCCCGGGCCTCCCTGGTGACTAAGGGGTTAAAGACAGCGCTATCAAGCTCTCGCCAGCCTCTGCAGCACGAATCTCTGGCTGGCCACAGTGCAACCCACATGGCACAGCAGACCTCTCCTGCCTCGCCCACTGCTTCCCTCAGCAGTGTATTTCAGTAGATCTGCCTGTTCTGCTCCCTGCTTTCTGGTGAATCCTCTCACCCCCCCATCTCTGGTTTACACCCCAGTGCTTGTATGCATAAATAAATCTTATTTTGAAAAAGGGGGGAAAAAAGGCAGGCCTGAAGGTGACTCCATCGAGTTCTCTTTTTTTTTTTTTTTAATTTTATTTTTGTATTCCCCATACAACTGCAACCCGCTTATTTTGACCCCAATCCCTCCCCTCCCCGTCCCCCATCCCCCCATAGAGTGTCTCTGGTTCATAGTTTTTTGTTGATTTTGATTTTCACTTTCTTATACTTACTCATTTCCCATCGAGTTCTCTTGATGGTGGGATAGGTGCCAATGCCCTACTCCTGTTGCTGGATATATTCCCAGGCCCCCTCCCACAATAATTTACATTTGGCATCTCAACCCCGCCCCACGAACCCACACTTCCGCCTTTCGCCCCGCCCATCCCAAGTACTTCCGGCCTCCCGCCCTGGACGCTGCCACCGGAGCGTGCGGTGGTAAGTCCGCGCCAAAGGTCCTGTGAAAGCAGTCTTTGGGCTGGCGACGCGGTCCAGAGCTCTTATTACTCGGGCCACCCACCCGGTCATTACACGGCAACCATTTTTCCTTCTCGAACGCCTGAGGCGCTGGCCTGGGGATGACGTCACATCCGGGGCATGTGAGGGCAGGCAAAGCCCGGAAATAGCTCCTGCCCCACCTGGTGGCGGGAAGGGGTCAGGACCTATATTGTCGGTATTTTCGGGTTTTGCACCGGAGGGCCCGGGGTTTTAGGAAAGGCGGTATCGAATGGATTTGCTGGATTTAGCACATAAAAATACAGGACGTCTAGTTAAATTTCAGGTAAACGAGGATTATTTTTAGTGTAAGTATATAGCCTGTACAATATTTGGGACATATCTTTACAAAAAAGTATGAGTATGTTTCATACACTATTTGGAATACACCTATAAAATTATGTTGTTTATCTGAAATGCAAATTTAATTGGACGCCCTCTATCTTTCTTATCTGGCAACCTTAGCCTTGAGCGTCCCCCTGCCCTGGACTCCTGTTTCCAGTAGTGAACCCGTTTCTAGAGCTTTGTACCTGTGAGAAATAGGTATAAAATGTCAAAATCAGCTATTGCTAGATGTTCCCAATCTAATGGGCCAGCCCCAGGGCCCCTTGGCAAAAGCTGGGACCAGTTTCATGGTGGCACCTTCTGTGTTCCCTTTCACAACTGGAGTGAAGCAGGGTTAGCTTTCTCATGGGAAAACAGAACCATGCAGTCTGAGTGGCTGAGGGCTAGTATTTGCTAGGTTTTTGAGTGTGGGCGATACTGGTTTTTGGGTCCAGATGTTCTGTGTTAACTGTGGAAAACTTAAGAGAGCCCAAGGATGCCAAAGGGAGAGTGTTTATCATAGTTTCACCCCACCCCACCTTTTGCACATGAAACCCAGGGAGAAAAAGGCAGCCCTCCCAGCCCCTCAGAAAACCTGTGGTTATTGCTAGAACCTGATCCTCAGCCGCCTTCCTTTGTTCTGTCCACACCTGCTGCTGTAGTCAGCCTGTGGCACTTATTATGGTGGGTGTTCACTAAAGTAGATGCCTTTCATGAAATGAGCTTTTTGGAATTTTGCTGTCCCTAAACTCTTATATTGCCTCCTGGCCTTCTTTAACCTTTACCCTTCCCAGGGGAGGAATGATTATTTAGGTTTAGCTGTGAGAGGTTACCCTTTGCCTGCTCCAGCCACTTAAATTTCCCAGAGGTGGTGTGACCAAAGCTTTGTTATGTTGGAACCAAAATCTGGCCAGAGGTGGGTCTGGCCAGCCATGTGGGTAGGAGGGCATCATCCTTTCCTGTAGCTTGGGCCTGTGCTGTGGGGCCTCCTGTGGTATCTAGGGACTTCTTCAAGGTTTCACCGTGAGCCAGACATTTGAACCTGACTCCCTTGCAGGTCTGGATTGCTGAGATTCCTTAGGCTGTATACCCTGAATGTACTCTGGGCCTACCTGTCAGTGTCCTGGTAAACCTGTAGCCTCCCCACACAGACCTAGCCTTCTCAAGCTTCCCAGCCTAGACTCATGAGCTAATGCAGTAGAGCAGGCTGGAGGTCAGCAGGCTCAGGGTCAAGTGGTGGGACAGCCAGCAGTCTCCTGGCAAGAGAAGTGGTAAATAGGCAAGGAAGGAGTGCCAGAAAGAGGTGTTACCCATTGGTGAGGGCTTGAAAGTGCAGGGGGGTGGGGAAGGGGGAGGCCAGAACTCCACTGATTGGAGTAGCTTCCTCTGTGAATAATTAACTCTCAGTTAGAGGAGGTGACCTAGGAGGAAGGCTCAGCCAACAGGACCTTTGGACTCAGGGCAGAGTGTCCAGAGGGCCTATGTGTAGGCTGCAGAAGAGGAGGACATGGCTGGGTGGCAGGGCTGGGGTCCAAGGACTGGAGTGAGATCAGGCAACTGTGGACCTCAGGAAGTCTCCTCGGACTGACAAGTGGCCTGTGCTTGCAGCAGCAGCTGTGGGGTCCACTGGCCCTGAGCCCTCAGAGGGTGGCTGTGGTGGGCCGCCTATCTCTGGCCTTGCAGCAGCATCACTAGTGCTTTCCTTCCCCCTAGGCAGGCATGGATGCCAGGTGGTGCTGAGATCAGTGGGGCATGGCTGCAGCCCTGCAGGTCCTGCCCTGTTTGGCCCGAGCCTTCTTGCGCCAGCGGTTCTGGGGGAGTCCAGCAACCCGAATGGCCAGTGGCATGGCCCTACCAAAGCTGGCACGGCAGCTATTTGAAAGCTCTGTGGGTGCTGTGCTGCCAGGCCCCATGTTGCACCGGGCACTATCCTTCGATCCTGATAGTGGGCAGCTGAAGGTGCGGGACCGGAGCTTTCAACTGCGGCAAAACCTTTACCTGGTGGGCTTTGGTAAGGCTGTGCTGGGAATGGCAGCTGCTGCTGAGGAGCTACTGGGCCATCATCTCGTACAGGGCGTGATCAGCGTTCCCAGAGGGATCCGTGCGACCTTGGAGCATGCTGGCAAGCAGTAAGGAACCATGGGGGGCTGCTCCCCACTGTCCATCTGGAGGGAAACCTGGTCCCAGGCATAAGCTGGATTTAGGCTTCCCTCTCTCACCAGCTTACTTATTATTCTGGATCTGGCCTAATTTGTGGGGGGGAGGTTATCGGTGGGCATCCTATTAGTGCCCCTTTTTACTCCTGTACACAGGCTGGGAAATCAGGTGGGAGGAGAGGAGCCCACCCCATCTCTTGCTTTATGCCCTATCACTTCTCAGGGAGATGCTGTTGAAGCCACACAGCCGTATCCAGGTATTTGAGGGTGCAGAGCACAACCTGCCGGACCGTGATGCACTACGGGCTGCACTAGCCATCCAGCAGCTGGCCAGAGGTCTCACAGCTGATGATCTGCTGCTTGTGCTCATCTCAGGTGTGGCTGCCAGATTGGTTCAGGACAGTTGGGGTGTGTGTGCGACAAATATCAGGTCTTCAAAAAACTGTTGGTCTGAGCCCCCAGGATCACAGAGTGAGGGAGGCAGTGAAGAACCTGCATGGCTGACTTCTGGGTAGTCCTGGGCTGTTTGTCTGGCCTCCCCTGAGCTGTGGATTCCTCCTTTTGAGTGACCTTGTTGGGTGACCCTTTGAGGGTACATAGGGAGAACCTAACTCAGCCTCATAAGGAAAATGTCACTATTACTGCTGTTGTCTGCACCAGTGTCACCCAGGGCTAGAACCCAGGTCTCCGGCTGCTCCAGAGCCCTCTTCTTGGTCTTCCACTGTTTCCACCTGGTCTTCCCTCTATTCCAAGCTCTTAAGCAATGGTTCTTCCAGTACCTTCTGGGACCTGGGCTACTCTGAGTCAGGATGCAACCTCAGGTGCCCAGGATATGGTGGCCATATATAGTCATTGAATGTCCACATGGGGGCACTCTAACCCTACCTTGCTTCCTTAAAGTGGAACTGGCTACCTGGTGGCTGGGTGAGGCCCTCCTTTGGCCATCCCTGTCCTCCTAGATGTCTTCATTGTCTTTATAGGTGGGGGCTCAGCTCTCCTGCCCGCTCCCATCCCACCCATCACACTGGAGGAGAAGCAGACACTTACCAAGTTGCTGGCAGCCCGAGGAGCCACTATCCAGGAGCTGAACACCATTCGGAAGGCCTTATCCCAGCTGAAGGGTGGTGGACTGGCGCAGGTCGCCTACCCTGCCCAGGTGCGTAGGTACTTTTTCCGTAGGCTCCCTGGGCTGGTGGAGCCAGGCCCAAATATAGCAGGGAAATGAAAACTTAGCACAGTAGACAGATTGGCAGGGGCCTGGTATGGGATTCCAGGGCTGACTGAGAGGGGCTACAGAAGGGATGAGGGGAGTCTGCATGGCCTAGTGAACCTCCAGGAGAAGGGTTAGAAACCTGTGAGGAAACCCACTGACTGGTATGAGAGTATGTAGACACACAGGGCCAGGGTGTCCTTGTGGACTCTGGGGAAAGGACCAGGTGGGCCTTAGCGTGGCCTCTGTGACCCCTCCCTAGGTGGTGAGCCTGATTCTGTCAGACGTGGTGGGGGACCCTCTGGAGTTCATCGCCAGTGGACCCACTGTGGCCAGTGTCCACAGCGTGCAAGATTCCCTGCACATCCTCAATCGCTACAACCTTCGTGCTGACTTGCCGCGTTCTGTGAAGACTGTGCTGGCTCAGGCCGACTCTGACCCCCATGGGCCACACACCTGCGGGCATGTCCTCAATGTGATTATTGGCTCAAACGCAATGGCACTGGCTGAGACCCAGCAGCAGGCTGAAGCGCTGGGATACCGAGCTGTGGTGCTGACCGCAGCCATGCAGGGCGATGTGAAAAGGGTGGCCCAGTTCTACGGGCTGTTAGCCAGAGTGGCTGGAGCTTGCCTCTCCCATACTGGGACTGAAACCCTTGTGGAGGAGGACACGCAGCTCCATGAGCTCGCGACTGAGCTTCAGCTCCCGGACTTGCAGCTGAAGGACTCTCTGAAGGCTGTGGCAGAGGCCAAGGGGCCCATCTGCCTGCTGGCTGGTGGAGAGCCCACCGTGCAGTTGCAGGGCTTGGGCAGGGGGGCCGGAACCAGGAACTGGCCCTGCGTGTTGGAGTGGAGCTGGGACGCTGGCCTCTGGGGCCTATTAATGTGCTGTTTTTGAGCGGTGGCACTGATGGGCAGGATGGGCCCACAGAGGCAGCTGGGGCTTGGGTCACTGCTGAGCTTGCCAGCCAGGCTGCTGCAGAGGACCTGGATGTGGCCACCTTCCTAGCCCACAATGACTCACATACCTTCTTCTGCCGCTTCCAGGGTGGGTCACACCTGCTACGCACAGGGATGACCGGCACCAATGTCATGGACACCCACCTCCTGTTCCTGTGGCCACGGTGATAGCATAGGTCATATTTTGGGAGTCCAGAGGAGGCCTACAAGGGCGAGGTCCGGGGGTGACAAGGTTGGTCCCTAGGGCTGTACTAGGCCTTAGCACCTCTCCCCTCCTTGGCCTTGGCTGCTTGGTTGGCTCTCCCACCTCCCACCCAGGGCCTCCGCTTTATAGCCATCCTCACTCAACCAGATTGGCAGATTGGGGTGCTCTTCCACCCCTGCTTTCTGCCATAGCAGCAGGTACCCCTGAGGAGCAGGGCAAGCCCCTTTACCAGTTTGCTGTTCTCGGGTTTTTTCCCTGGGGCAGCTCTTCTGCTGAGCTCCCAAGCCTGTATTTTTCTGTGGGGTGATGCACAGATTGAAAATAAAATGGACCACACTATGGTTCTCCATGCATCTTCCCTCAGAGCAAACACTTGAGGGAAACCATTGGGGCGAGAAGTGGGGTCAGATGACAGCTTCAGTGCCTGGATTTCTCACGCCTTCTCTGCAGGCCATACCTAGCACTTGCTTTATGTTGAGCCTAGTTCCTGTCATGCTCATCGTGGGTGAGCAGAAACCCCAGGCCACTATCCAACCATGAGCCTCCCCTGTCGCATCCGTGCCACAGTCTCTCCAGCATCTGCTGTATGCCTTGCTGGGTGGATATTTACTACCAGCCACCAGGGACACCCGGCCCTTTTGTCCTAGGACAGCCCTTAACCACGGCCTGCTCTTTCTTTGGTTGAGCCTCCCTCTGTTTATCCAGGGGCTACTCTGACCACACAGGAAGCTGTCCTTGTTTCCTTGTGCCGGTCCTATTTCTCAGGATGAACATCCTCAGTTCCTTCAGCCATTTCTCTGGGGACTCAGTTCAGTTCTCCAGTCTTGCAGGGGGGATCTAGTAGCTTCCTCAGTCCCCATTTCAGTTGGTGGGGAAGAGAACAACGGGAGGAGGGCAACAGGGGAGTGGCTCCCTTGGCCAGGTTAGCAGCCTGTGCTAGGAGAGGAAAGGGCCGTGCTGTCTTGGCTCGCCTTGGCTCCCTTGCCCAGTATCCAAGCCCTCTGCTGGCCACCCTCGCCGTGCGCCACGGCTCCAATCCCTATATGAGTGAGCAGTAGAATCACATAGGAATAAAAAGCCATAGAGAACAGCGAGGCCTGGGGCTGCTCCTGCTGGTCTCCCCTTCCACCCTAACTGGCCCCTCCTCTCAGGGTGGGAAGGGACTCTGGGCCAGCACTTGCATGTCCTCCCTCTGGCAAGAGCCTTCCCTCCCTACTTGGGCTTTAGACATCCCAGCTTGAGATGGTTCATGATCTGGGGAGGGATGTCACTCACAGGTCAGCCTGGGGCTTGGGAGAGAGTTGAGCAAGGCCAACCAGCTTCTGGGGGCCAGAGAGTTTAGGGAAAGGGGGAGTTTTTACTACTCTGTGATGCAGTGACACCACTTCTCTTCTGTCCTGGCCTGGAATTTCCACTGCCCAGGGTCATAGTGTTGGGATATTAGCCCATGTGGTAGTGCCTGTGCCCTCGTCTTCCTCTGCAACTTCTAGTTACGCTGAGCCTGCCTCCATCTTCACCCTTGGGAACATGAGTGTCAGCACCTGGGGTCAAGTTCCAGACAAGAGCAGGATGGGAGGGCTGTGGTTGGGGCAGGGACCTATCTGCCATGTCACGTGCGTGTGTGTGTGTGGAGGGGGGCGGGCATGCACACAGATACAACATGGGATGTGTACTTGGCTGCTTATATACCTGGTGAGGAGTTTGAGTGTGGGTGGGGTCTTGGTGGAGGCTCCCCCCTATGTTACCCTGGCCCTGCCCTCACCTCTATTTGTGGGGGCCAGGAGCCCACGGACAGGATTGGGTCTAACCCATTAGATTTGCTCACTTGATACCCACTGGGTTAGAAAGGATATATTTGGCTACACCCTCGGTGAAAATATAAATCCTACATAGTATGTGCTCAGTAGGACTTAGTGGCTCCATAAATGTCAATTATGGGTTGTAATGATTGCTCCCATCCTTGGCTTTTGGCTTGGGTCTCTCCTGGCTCAGATCCCTGTGGCCCTTGCTCACCTCATCTCCACTCCTTGAGATTGTCCTGGCCCAGCTCGAGGCTTTTGCCATGGAGCTTGTCTGCCCCCCCAGCCCCCTAACTGTCCATTCTCACAGATCCCTCCACTCTCTGCACTTGGCATGCGCTGAGAGCAGCTGGGCAGTGGGCCCTGCATAGCCCTTAGGTGTCAGTTAATCCAAATCCCTTTGTTTTATAGCCGGGACACCACTATCAAGAGAAGAAAGGTAGTTTGTCTGGGGTACACAGCAAGGCTGCTGCAGACCAGGGTGAGAATCTGGTTGGGATGTGCTTGACCACCCTCTGCCCTCTCTCTGGAGAGGCTCTGGGGCCCGCTGCTCCCTGCCTGCTGTTGCTCAGGGGCTTGGATTGGCGACATGAACACATGTGGCCTCTCTCGAGGCCCATAAAGCAGATCTGTCAGTACCTTCTTGGGTCAGGTTTCACAGCTCCCTTAGGCGTGTGACTTGGCAGAAGACCACCTGCAATTGGGTGGCGAATTTCTACCCAACAGTGTGTGTCTGTGTCTCTGCACATCTGCATGTGTGTGCCTGGGTACACGTGTGGGCATGTGTGTTCTGCTCAGCCCATGACTCATCACTAAGTGGACCTCTGAGCCATGCTCTGCTCTGTGCTAGAGTGAGTGAGTTAGGTATGGTTGGAGTATTGGGGATATGATGAAGTGAATTGGGCAAAGAGGCCATAGAGGCCGACAGGCCAGCTGGCAAAGAATTTTCTGAGCCTGGCCAAGGGGATCCAATCTCACCTTGACAGCGGGGACTAGTGTCATGAGAATTTAAGTGAGGGGTGATGCCACGAGGCTGTTTGAAGACTGATGCTGAGGCCTGCCTGCCTTACTGCATGGGTGAGGGGTGGGGACAAGCAAGGAGGGGAAGGGGGTTGCAGGTGAGTGAGAGGTATATTATTATCAGGCTTGGGAACCCCCTCCTACCTCCCCTCTGCTCGCTCCCCCTGCAGCCTCATACAGCCGTCTGCCAGCCCAGGTGATCCTGAAGATGCCTACTTTGAAATCAAGGCTGGCAGCCCTGGCTCAAAGAGCCCTGGGAGTAACCTAGCCACTCTGTCCCTGGGAATGTCATTGGGCCTTGAGAATTTGAGGGACAGAAAGATGGGCAGCTGGTGGACATTCTGGTGAGCACAGCTCCCGTCCTCATGTAGGCTCTCACCAGGGTCGCAGTTAAAGGGCCTGGAAGGAGCAGAGAGTGGGAGTCAGGTCCTAAGTCCTTAACTTGCCTTGTCACTTTCCTATCTTCAGGCCTCCCCACTGTCTAATAGGGACACCATCCTTGTCCTACTCCCCTCTCTGGGGAGGTGTGAGCTTCGAGGGCATCTGGGTAGGAAAGCTCTGTGGAAGTGGAGGACTTGGGGCGGAAGGGGAAAAAGGAGTTGTTGGCTTCTGCTATGGTGAAGTTCAGGGCAGAGGCCAGTAAGGCCTTCGTGTCCACTGAGGCTGAGAGAGTACTGCCCTCTGGCACTGGATGGGCACTTGCAGGGGGTGGTATTTGAGTCTTGAATGACTGGCAGAGTTACAGAACTGAGGGGGTCAGCTGGAACAAGAATTGACCCAGCCTGAGAGAGAGTCCCCATCAAGTCTCAGAAAAATGGACAGGGTAGCTTGCTTCCCTCTGGATCTGGATCACGTGTGAGAGAGATGGGGTGGGCAAGAACCAGCTTGACCCCAGGTTGGGAATCATTACTTGAGAAGATTTGGGGTGTGCTAGGGGTAGGGGGACACCAACACACCTTGAGTGGCGGGGAAGCCAGTGACTTAGGCTGCTTGTGAGTGATAGGACCGTGGAGTGTAGTGAGCTGTGCCCAGGCCAGGAGAGGTGGCCTTTCTGAATGTCTGAGAATCGCCCCCTCCCTGATGACCATTGGGACCAGTCCTGAGACTATGCTTTCCTACTTTCCCTGGCTCAGGCTTCCCTTGGATATGTAGAGACTGGATGGGGCAAACTGGGGTGCACCTCCTAAACCTCTGCACTTGGTCCCCATTAGCTTATGCCCACAGCTCTGATTCCACCTCTAACACTTTTCCATCTGGGAAGGGTTGCTGAGCTGCTCAGACCAAGAGGCTGTGGTCAGGGAAGAGAGTGAGGCAGAGTTGGCCTCCAAAACAAGTGTCCCGTTGGCCTAGCCCTAGGAGAACAAATGCCTTTAGAGGCTTTGCCTCATGGGATTGTTACCTACCATGATCTTGTCCGCTGCTGGCTCCCTGAGAATTCAAGGAAACGAAGGCCCTGGCTTGGCCCTACTGTGGCCAGATAGCCAGGGGCTGGTCCCCCAAGATGTCCCCATTGGGAAGATCCCCTCTGGTCTCACACTCCTGGCCTTTGCTGCTCCCTCCTCTGGCAGCCAGCAGAGCGACCTTGCTCACTCTCTGGGGGAAGTGTGGGCAGTGCTCTTGTCTCTCCAGCTCTGTCATTCCATCCTCAGATCCAGTAAGTAGGGGGTGGCAGGGCCCCTTCTATCCACTCCCCCCCCCCACACACCTGCCCAGCTTCAAGGTCTCTGGCTCTCCTTGTACCCTGGGTCATCTCCAATAATCACACTTGTAGCTGTATTCAAGAGCCAGGATTCTGTCTCCACCTGTTCTCCACCCCCCCCCCCCACCTTCCTCCCCAAGTCAGCTCACCCCAGGAAACTGACCACACCAACATCTCAGCTCTGGCCTGAATCGGTACTGTTGGCAACTCTGGGTAAAGCTGTCCTGGGAACCCTATCTTAGGGGAGTTTGTCAAGAGACTCTATGGAAGGATGAAGTACCTTTCCCTCCATGTGGATCTCTGGGTCTAGGGGTCAGTAGCTTGGATACCCAGGCTCTCCTTCTTTGGATGCCCTGCCTCCTGAGCAGTGGAAGCAGCCCTAGCATGTCCTTGACCAGTAATCAAGACCTCTCCAGGGACCGGCACTTGTAAAGGGTCACAGTCCCATGGACAGCGCCTGCTGCTACCAGCAGCCTCGCAGCCACAGCCCAGCCAGAGGCAGGGTTCTGAGCCCTGGACTCCAGGTCTGGTCACATTCAAACCCTCACAGGCAGCCCAGCTCCAGCCCGCCCAGTTGGGTCTCCCTCCGGGCAGGGCCACCTGCAGAAGCCAGGCACGGGGCAGGGACAGAGCTGGCCAGCTCCCAAACCAGTTTTGCCCCCCTTTCCTCCCCTGCATGCAGCCAACGGGCTACCCCTCTCTGCCCTGGCTCCTCCTGACCGCAGGGCATCTGAGGCTGGCACTCTGACTGCTGCTCCCACTGCCCTGGGCAAAGCAGCGGTCGTGGGTAGTGGCTGGACTGCCCACTCTACCCATCTGCCCACCCCCAGAGCTCCCAGTCCGATGCCGGCTCACCTCGGCGGTGCGGTCTTCTCACCAGAGGCACTGCAGTGTGGGAACTGTCCCGAGGAGCCGGTTCTCAGCTGAAACAAAGAGGTGGGGGAGAAAGAGGGGGGCAGCGGGAGAGGGAGAGGGTAAGCAGCGAGCAGGCGAAGGAGTGGAGGCTGGAGGGGGAAGAGAAGGGAGAGGATGAGAGAGAAGAGGGGAGGGGAGGAGAACGCGCCCTGAGATAAAGCCTGACATCCCGGCACCGAAGGGCCAGGGAAAGAGGGAAGAGGAAATGGGGAGGGGGAGGAGGTGAGGGGCCAGACTGGGAGAGGAGAGACTGTGGAGGGGGCGGGACCGGGACTGGAGAGGCAGCCGGGGTGAGAGGCATGGCTGCAGGGAGCAGGCAGCCGGCGGAGGGGCCCCACCCCGTCCCATGCCAGTTTCTGGTCTCGGGGAAACCAAGAGGACTCGAGTGGGCAAAAAGCCACCAAGGGCAATGGGAGGGAGAGGTGAGCAGTCAGGTGAGGGGCCAGGGACGAAGGCCGAGAAGAACAAAGGTGTCCGAACGAAGATGTCCGAGTGGAAAGTCTGGCCCCTGCTGACCTCTGCAGTCCAGTCGGAAGAGTCCTGGGCAGTCTTCTGAATGGGGGGCAGGTCCAGACTCTGAAATAGCAACCTGAGATCAAGGGGGAGGGGCTGAGAGTGGGCGGGGTGGGGTGGGGGGTCCTCTTCATTCGGAGAGAACACACAATACAGTGATTGACCACACATCTGGAAGCTGGTGTCACTGTGGGGGATGGGATGGTTAGATGGGGTCGGGAGCCAGGCTGGGGACCTGGTGCTGAAAGAGCATTTAGGACCCTCAAGGAGGCTGCAATGGGGAAGGGGAAGAGAGGATGAAGGGAGTGGCGAAGGAGGGGGATAGGAAGTGGTAAGGAGCCTGGAGTGGGGGTGGTGTGGCCAGAGCTGAGCCTCCTTAACTAGCCCACCTAAGCAGAGGCTTCCCGCTTCACACCCCGCAGTTCTTGGGCTGCCTAATGGAGACCTAATGAAGAATGAATCCCCGGGCTTCCCAGCGCTGCTGTGACAGGCAAGGGCACTAGGGAAGTCAGCTGGGGCTACTGAAACAGGAGTCTGTTAGTGCTTTGGGGGGGTGTGGGGGAGCAGGAGAGGTTGATGGCTTTGACCAGAGCCAACCCATCCCTTTCTCACCCTGGGGTACACTGTCCTGTGCTGGTCTAGTCTCGTCCCTCTCTCAGCAGCCCAGAAGGCCCAAGACATTCTGCCCTCCTAGACTCTCCTAGCTCTTCTGTCCAAGTCCCCTTTCTTGTCCCACTGGACATTCTTCATAGAAATTCCAGCGTACCAGCATTGTTTGGGGAACAGGAGAGGGAGAGGGACCCGTGGGCTTACCTAAAGCTGTGACGGGGAGAGGGAGTCAGCGCTGGTCCCACCCTGCGTGAAGGGACAGAGCTAGATCCCCCTTAAACTCTGCCTAACCCATTTCCCTACCAGCCCCTTGGGGAAGCCCTTCTGGCCACCTCAACCCAGCTGCCACCTGTTCAGCTTTCTCTAGGAGTCAGGAGCCCCACGACAGGAAAGGACACCCCCCACTCTGTCTTTCCTTATCCCTTCCCTTTCTTCCCTCCCTCCTCCATCTCCCTCCAGCTCCCTCTCTCCTTTCCTTCTACCTTTTATTTAGAAGACATTTCAAATTTATAGACACATTGTCGGAATAGTATAAGGCATGGATATACTCTTCTATTGTGGATATTTTGTCGTGTGTGTGTGTGTGTGTGTGTGTTCACACACATAATTTTTTCCTGACCTATTTGAGAGTAAATTGTAGACGTCACAGCTGAAAAGATGATTTCTTACATCTCTGCCTCCTGCACCAGCCAAGGGAAGCCCACACCATGTAGCGTGGAATAAAGGGAGGTCTGGCCCCGGCCGTGACTGAGAGCACATCCATTGGGAGCCTGAGGGCTGGGGAACAAAGGGTTTGGCCAGGGTCACTTTGGTTGTTGGACTGGGCCCCACACCCCCCTTACTTTTTCTCCTCTCCAGTTTGGGAGGCAGGGAGCCATTGCCCACCCGGGGAGCAGGTGGTGTTTGCTGGGTGTGGAGCTGCAGCATATGTCTGTGAAGACTGTGGCAGGCAGGCGGGTGGAGCTGGGAGAGCAGGGATAGCCGGGCTGTGGCACCTGGGTACACTTGGGAGACGGCACTGCCTGGTCCTGAGTGGGTGTGAAAGGACCCAGATGCTGGAGGCACCAGCCCCAGTGCCCTGGCCTGGAACTCTTGCCTTTGGGGCCCTTCCCGTGGCCTCGTGGCCATTTAACAGCTGGTCCATGTGAATTAGCTTAGATAGGGCACAAGGGTGATTCTTTTACTCTGGGACTTACAGCATGGCCCCTGACACAGACTGGCATTCCTTCTATATCCCTCTGTGCCCCCACATGGGTTGGAGTCCCATTTGCATGTGAAGGCAGCCCGTGAGGCCACCTTCTCGCATTCCTCCAGAGGTTATGGTTTAGAAGTCTGGCATTTAGAAGATCACACCTTAAAGATGATTTGAACTCTGAAGCCCTGATTTTTCTCCCTTTCTTTCTTCCTCCAAGAAGTCCCCCAGACTTCCTCAGCGCATCGAACTCACTGGCTTCCAGGGAACACCAACCCGGTCTGGTCCTTTGCTGTTTACACTGATACTGTCCTCAGGAGCCAGGGTTTTGCTTAGTCATCAGCATTTCTTCTTTCCTGATGCCCCAGGCTGGCAGGTAATCATGGATGTCTGTGTGCCCAGAGATGGATGCCAGTGGCTTGGTTGGTCCTGTGTGGACGTTGAGTTACTCTGACGAGAGTCCCAGTATGCCTGAGAATCCACAGGCTCTGGGCTGGTTGAAGTGGGGGGTGTAAGGGGACCCACTGGAGAGAAGAAAATGACTTATTCAAATCCCAACCTGTCAGGGTAAAGTTGAGCCTCTAACTTGAGTATCTGGCCACCTGTTCAGCACCTTCTGCTTCCTTCCCTGGACCACAGGCCAGTCTGGCTAGGGCAGAGCCTGAGGGTCCTCCCTGAACTCCACTTGGGAGGCTGCAGGACCTGCTGAACCAAGAAGAGAATGCTCCCTTCCCCTGCATCTGTTATCCTCTGCTCATACATGTGACAGCCCAGGGGACTTTGGCCTCTCCCTTTGCCCATCCCCCTGAAGAGATTTCAGTCAATTAGCACATACGGTATTTACTTAATTAGGGTAATGACATAATTAGTGTAACTTGGGCTCCATCACATGGCTGCAACATGCAATTAGGAACCGTCAGCAGGAGGTGACATTGTGAAAATGTTCATTCAATTTTGATTCCAGCATGGAGGCTGTAGCAGCTGCCTCTGCTGGGGAGGGAGGTGGGCAACTGTTGCTGTGTGTGTATATGTATGGAGGGGAGGGTGTGGGGGATGGTGATTGCAGGCAGCTGGCAGGCAGCCTGGGACTGGGAGTCAGTGTAGGCAGGAGGGCAGATTCCAGGGCTGATGGAGTCCCTGACCAAACCTCTCCCATCACATAGATGCTTTGCCCCACTCTCCACCTCCAGCAACCACAGGGCAGGGCAGTGACCCTGGCTTGGTTGAAGTGGCTGAGATTGGGGGTCTGTCCCCTGTCCCCAAGTTCTCTGACTGAAATGTCTCCATCAATAGGCAGTTGCTTCTCTTTTTAGGGCTTTGCGGCTTACAAGAGCTATTGTCTCACCCTTGGTATGGTGGCTCTGTGAGACCACACTGGAAAGACTGGGGTGACTGCTATTATCCTCATTGGACTGGTGGGGAAATGGAGGCTCAGGGCTAGGAAGGTGGCAGAGCCAATCATAGCTATGCTGACCCTGAGAGGCACCTCAACAAGAGCTCCTCAAGCCCAGGCAAATCAGCCCTGCCCCATGGGCTCTGTTCCTAGGAGGGAGCAGGGCTCCTTTGGGAATCACTGGCGGGTGGCGGAGTTCCCAGACTCCTGCTTCCTCAGCCCTCTCCACCCTCCAACCCCCAACTTCCACTAGGCCATTCCCTCCCAACACTATACATGGCCTTTTCCTCAGTGAACCTCTCAGCTTTCCTGGGGGACTGCAGGGAAGTGAGGGAAGATGAGTGTCAGAACTATTTTTGTGGGATAGTGTCCTCAGATATGTCCCTCACCTCTCTGGGCCTGGCCTCCCCACTAGTTAGGGTTAGTTAGAGGAGTAACTCTCTGAGCCCCCGTAAGAGGTCTTTGAAGGCAAGTCAGCCAGGTCATGCCTGCCTCAT